AGGCGGACGACTTGACTGACCAATCAGAACACTTGACCTGATTGCTGCTTCCTGCTCCACTCGGCTAATGATTCCTGTGTGGGAGGAGGTGAGAAAAGACTCTTGCAGAGGTTAACTGAGTGTGCTCAAAGTTAAACAGGCTGCAGTGCTGGAAGGGTGTAATCCATATGAATATGTCACTGAATGCTCCCTGCACTGATGTGATTTGTGATCAGCCACTATAGCGTTCAGATACTGACAGAGTGACAGCTGAACCCAGGTGGCTCTCTTAACATGAGAAGACAATCCCCAACAAGATGTCGTTTTTATCATAGCTGTCTGTTGTTGCAATAGACTAAGGATGCTAATGCATAGAATAGACTGATTAATTATATCACATGAAGCTTTTATGTATAGAATGTTAATCTTTATTCAGGTCCTTGATCCTGGTAACCCTAATAATACCTACATGTGCCTGTTACACATCCCCTTACTGGTTAAAAGAGAGTGTTGAGAGATGAAAAGAGATCAGAAAATACAGAAACAGAGGCTCAGGCGAACTAGTCACCCCTTAAAGCTTTTCAAATTTTTATTTAAATTTTTTTTGCCAAAAAGTAGAAGTAGAAATGTATAAAATATCTCCCTCCCACATTCATCAATGGTTAGCCAAATGGATCAGAAGATAGCCAGGAATCTAAAGTCATGCCAACAGATTTGTGGAAATCATTTATTTGCAACTTAAGAAGTGAACAGATGCATGGCGCTTTAGTGGAAGAGAAGTGCACAGAGAATGAAATTAGTCAGCTGAAACCAAAAGAAGTACACAGCTGGTAAAGAAACAAACACAGTAAAGGCCTTAATGATTGCAAGAAAACGGAGAGAAAACCGTACAAAGTGCCCTGTTTTAGAATGAAAAGGGCTTGGTGGCATCTGTTTTAATAATCTCCAAAGCAAAGTCTTGGGGTCCCAAGCTGAGTAGCCTTTTTCTCCTAAACTAGATCATGTTTCACACCATGGCACTATACTCTAGTGTGCATCACATGCTTACAGAGCTGCATTATAGGCTGCCGCTGTGATCGCCTTCACATATGCTGTCCGCTGGGTTACAACATGATACATCCTTATGCAGTACGTAGCGCTCACCCAGCTAGTGCTTTCCTTTCATGTGTCACTTCATGTACAGCTGTAAGAAACAAACTATTTTTGATCATACATTAAAACATATATCTATATAAAGAGGTATTTAAAGAGGTATACCAATTAATTTAAGGTCTCATATTTGCTATTTTTGTGATACATTTTTGTCAAACAATATGTGTCTGTGTAAATAATGCTTCAGAAAAAGGTGAACCAGACTCTTGATTTGTTGTAGTATTAAAGACACTGATTGGAACGGTTTTACTGAGATAGAATGGAGGCCTCTGTTTGCTCCTGTAGAAGAAACATCATCCTAAAGCAGTAAAAAATGAAGCAGCCACACTGAAAGCCAGAGTGAACAACAGCTGCCACGCCATCGTCAGTTATGTTCACATGCTTTGGTACTTTGAATGTATCTGGGGCAGTAAAGTGGGAACACATTAGTGTCAGATCATCCATGGCCAAAAACAAGGCATCATTCTTGTTACTTCTGCTTTGCACAGTGTAAACAGAAACCATGGCGTGTCTCGAGGAGGTTACAGTATTGTTGATGTTGACATCACAGCACAGAAAATGGCAGAGGCATCATCGTAGCTGGTGTGTCATGTAGATAAGCTCTAAGAGTTTCTCTTCAAAACTGTCCTTGTGTCGATCCAAAATTGCTCTTGTCCTTGATCTCTGTTGTTGCTCCCACTGGTCATGCATTTCTGCATTTCACAGATGTGTATACCGTTAATTTCTGAGGACGGTCACAATGAACGCTCCCTAAGAATGCAAGTTAGCTAGGATGTGCACACGAATGTGTAGTTAAAGCAAGTATATCAGAACATAGAGGAGAAGACAGAGACACAGTGTTGTTGAGAATAACGGTCCATTTTTGTAGATTTCCTGAAGACATTCTTAATGTTGCAGTTGACTGTTTAAATGAAAGTGATTGAAATGGTTGTGTTCAAACCCTGCCTTTTCACCTCTACACTGCCAGCCAGTTACAAAGTGTAAATGTCGTATTGTTGGAAAGTTACAGAAACAGTTGAACACAGAGCCCCCAGTTCCAATGTCAGCAAGTTATCTACTGGGATATCCTGGCCTCCGCTGCTCTGATTTCTTTCTTTCTCTATACTAAATAATACTAAATCAGTGGAGTACCTGATTTTCATGCAACAAAATTAAACTGTAAATCATGGGAGAAAAGGGTTTGATCAGTACAATCACTTGTTATGTCCTTTAAGTTAATTTTAACTTAAACCAAACTTGGCAATGTTATAGACAGATCCTCAGATCCAGTAACATCTCAGATACAACAACTACTCAGCTTACTGGTATGAACTAGCCTGCAGAAATTCACTGGTATTGCACTTGAAGCTAATTACAAAGAGAAACATCCCTTTAATCCGTCTTTAATATAAGCTAGTACCGCATTGTCGCTGCATAACCAGTTTTGCAAACGGCTCATTACAGGTAACCCTTTAAACAGAGGCAGATGGGTTGTGATAGTGTACAGTAGTATGCATCATATACACAGCTAATGTGATGCAGACGATGCTTCTCCCTGAAAACCACAGTGATTTTCTGCTGATAAAGCCATTGTAATGAAGGATGTTAATTATATATCATTATGTAATGAATTTAGATTGTGATGTGAGCATTTGTGTATAATGTGCTGTGGGCTGTGTGGAACACTGGCTTTACAGACAGTACACGGTCAGTGGTTTGGACCCTATATCAGGGTCAGACTGACTCATTGCATGTGACTGCAACACCTTCTGGAAGCTTATGGACTCTACTCTCAGGTTTACTGTAGTTTTCTGCTTGCTTCTGTAACAGGACGCCTTCTAACTGAGAGTTGAGCAGTGGAGACCAGCGGTACATATTTGTAATGTGCTGAAGTCATGCATGTGTCTGCTTTTATGTTAAGGTCACTGAAAATCAAAGCAAAGAGATCACAACTGGAATTTAACCAATATATTAACATAGATTTGGGAATTTAATTTGAAAGATTTGATTCGTCACTCAGTGTCATCCGCCTTTGATGGAGTTGATCCTAATCTGATTGTCTTTTGGAAGACATTAACCTGACCTCATGCAGCATTTTGATATAATTTCACGCAAGTGTTAATGTACATGGGTCTTTAAAATAATCCCGTAGTTTTAGAGATAAAATTCTGTTTCAAACGTTGTCCACACTGACAAGAATAAAGTGTGTTTGCAACACTGAATCACTTGTAATTCTTTGTGAATTTAATGTCCACAAAATGCTTGAATATAACGTTTAGTTTTTTTTTTGCTAGCCATTTGTGCTGGTTGGTGATTTCCTCACTCTGCTCGTCGCCACAGGCAGAATGAGTAGTCCTATGTGACAGTTGACATGAAATGACCATGGTGGTCACCTCTGACTCATGGAGCTGGAGGCGCTATGGATGCTAGGTGACCAGAGGATGTAAAGATACAGTCTCCTGTCTGTCTTGCTCAAGGACTTTGCTGACATTGTGAGACATAAAAGGAGATGGCGGTGTGAATCTGAAGATGTGTCTGTATCCTTTGATCTTTTCACTCTCCATGAGTCTTAATGTATTTCTCAGTCTAGAATACCTCTGTATTATTCTCTCTAGAGTATCTAACCCACACACTCAAAAGCTCCCAAGGATCAATTATTTTCATGCCACGTTATTGAGGTGGTACAACAAAAGAAGTGCTCTGTGCATTCATTTTTACCAATGACATTGTAAAACCTTACATTTTAACTTACTAGTAAATTCTCTGATACAAAAATAGATCCTGCCTTGTTTTACTTCTGTATTTGACTCTTGCAGATCTGTTATCCACACCATAAATTGGGATTGTGTCAGTATCTTAAAGTACTGAAAAGATTAATCTAAGTTTTTACATGACTCCTATAAATAAAGTCATTTAAAAATTGGCTCATTTGTTTGTTTGAAAAGTTGTTTGATTTTTGTATTGCATGTATGTCACAGTGTAAAAATTCGATTTGTGCACTGTACTTTCAAATGGATCAATAATACAGGCATGGATGAATTAATGAACGGATCCACCAGGCCCAGGCCCAGGGGTCAGAGACTAGAGTACTGTGAAATGACTATTAACCTTTCTGTTGGAAAGTCAATCAAATGAATACAAAAAGCCAAAAAATTAGAAATGTAGGTGCAAAACTACTACAAAGAGATATAAACCTGCTAAACAGAGACACAAAATGACTAAATAGAGACAGAAAAGACCACAAAGACAGCAAAATGACTACAAAAATATGAAGGAATGACAAAAAGAGACACAGAACAACTATAAAGAGATGCAAAACAACTAAAAAATACACAAAACAGGTGCAATAGGTGCAATATTACTACAAAAAGATGCAAAACGAGCAAATATGAACAGAAAATTAGTCAAAGCTGGCACAAACGAAACTACAAAAGAGCACAAAGCAACCACAAAACAACACAAACTGACTACAAATCACATGGATGCTCAATCTGTAAGTCTTGCTCCTAGAAGTACAGGAGAGGTAGGAGCCTCTTACATATCTGTGCCCAAGGGCCCATTGTCTCATAATCCATCCATGAATACAGGAATTGTTGCATTGAAGTTCTTTATTTCCTTCAGTTTATTTTGGTTGTCTGTGCAGTAATAACTCACCATTGAGCACATTCCAGACTTCCAGACCCAGTGTTTAGGAAATTTGCACTGATCCAAACGTCCACTATACCGACATTTCTCCATACATGGATGTACATGGTCAGTGTATGCCTGGCATTGTTGAGAACCACCACAATGTGTGAGTGTCACACCACAACGAAGAGATGTGTACCATTAGACAGATTTATCAGTTGTATCTAATTGCTTAATTAGTCATTCATAATTATTTATTAATGCTTTATAATGCAGAGCCAAACAACTTTTGAGCTGCCAGGCTGTGATAAATCTCCCTTGCTAGTGTGTCATTAATAGTCAAGTTATTTAATAAGATTGTCATTTTCTAACACACTAACAGCAAAAGTTAAATAATCTGTAATTAAAATATTAATAAACAGTAACCTTTGTTTGCAGTTCTAAATAGTTATTGATAGGTGCCAATAGAATTAACCTCATATTGGATCTACAGCTGCAGATGGTTAGTTCAGCAAAAAGGAAGCAGAGGAAACGACACATTTGGCATTTTGGCTACAACTTGTCATTTCTACATTTGTTTTTGTCACAGTTTAACCAAAAACATATAAATATCAGTGAGCTTTAAAATTAATCCTACTTTGGACAGAGCCAAACTAGCATTCGATGATGCTAAGACAATCACTTGGCTGGAAAACAAACAGCACATTTTGAGCTGTATTTTGAACTATTACTTTATCGCTCCTGTTGCTCTTATTAACAGCCTATAAATTATTTATAAGACATTAAACCATTTATTAACATTAAAAAGGGATTAGCTACAACTTGTTAAGCCTTTATAAAAGGGGAGTTATCCTAAAGTAGTGCCAAGAGATGCATATATGGTTGATTGTTTCTGTTTGTAACAATTTGTGCATTTTATATGTATTAATTTACATTTATATTACTTTTTATATTTCCGATAAGTTTGACTATATTTAAGGATTTTAGTTGTCTTTGGCTGACATCTAGTGGCCATGTTTGCAAAATGCAACCAACCTGTTATTTACTAGGTTAAATGAGATGTATTTGAGAGCTTCTAAATGCTTGTGGGAGTAAAAACCCGAGGTGTACGTGCCCGCAGTGTAATTACAGTACTACAGCTGATCTGGTGCAATAATAGGCTTTAGATTTCACAAGAACCCACCTGTATGAAGGACAGGGCCATAAAAGCAAGGAGCGTTAGGGTGAACAGGAAACGCTGCGTACTGATTGAGTTAGTTTGAACTATTCTGTTTAGGCTAGTGTTGCACAGTGTAATTAGTGCATCATTCCATCTGCATGTTAAATATTAATCTGTGAAGAAAATAGTTACTAAAGCTGTCAAATAAATATAGTGGAGTAAAAACTACAATATGCCCTTCTGATCTGATTTGTTGTGAGTAAGAAGTAGTAGGCCTGCATTTAATTTATATTTAGGTACACTGTAAGTAGACTTCATTACGTTACTTTCAAATTAAACAGATTATGTATCCTACTTATCTTACAAGACACCATCACTGCTTATAAACTCGTATAAATATTAATATTACATTAAATGTTAATATGATATTGTGTCAGCCTGCCCAGGGTGAACCCCCACCTCTCACCCACCCAGGGTGAGCTGGGATGGGCTCCAGGACTCCCGTGGCCCTATTTAGGGATAAGCGGTATAGATAATGGATGGATGGATTATATTGTGTCGGTCATAACGTACCTCAATACTACAGGTTGACACTTTGGGGCACAGGTCGGGAAACACATAATTGCCTACGTCACATCCGGTGAGTGTGGTCTTCTCTCTCTCTCCCCCTTCTCTCTCTCTTTTCCGTATCCGCCATTTCGGTTTTTGAACTTAGTTGTCATCGGTCACTGGATTGTGGCTGGAATTCTGTCGTTAATACGCTTTGCATGGTTACAGATGTGGATCTGACCATAGTTGAAATAAGAGTTGTTTTCTTATTGTGCTTGAGATTCTGTATCGGCGGATTGATGCCCAAACGACCAGCTGCGGATGTCGCCTGTTTACTAAACGTGCTCTAGGCGCTAAAGTTTTTGTATGAGTTGAAGGCTTTGGTTGTGGATAACGGGAGGGAGAGCAGGGAAGGCCGTTGAAGCCTCAGCTTTGAAGTGGTTATCATGGCCGGGAATTTTGACGCGGAGGACCGTGGCAGTTGGTACTGGGGTCGGTTGAGCAGGCAGGAGGCTGTGTCTCTGTTGCAGGGACAGAGGCACGGTGTTTTTCTGGTCCGGGACTCCATCACCAGCCCCGGCGACTACGTGCTCTCGGTATCAGAAAACTCCAAAGTCTCGCATTATATAATTAACAGCATCAGCAACAACCGACAGTCCGCTCCAGGTAAGATAACGGGGGGGTTGGAGGGGCTTGGTACATGGAGATGTGGATGTGACCATTCTTGCATGACTTGCACCAAAGGAGATGCGCAATAGTCCCGTTTCCACTCTCTCGTATGGAGAATACGGGAGGCCAGACGCACCGAAACACGTGCGTTTGTAATGTTGGATTTTTAAAAGACAGACATGGTTTCGTGCCTTTTACGAACACATTAGATATTATACCTGGTTTAAACGATTCGTAGAAAGCGATGAACGGGTCTGCCACTAAAACATGCCGCGGTGGGCGGTTTGACTTTTCAGATAGCAGACTATTAATGTGACTTCTGTCCTGGTGCACATTCTAAAATAAGACAGATTTAAGTGCAGACCCGTTAGTTATGCGTTGTAAATGTTCCAAAGTGTGCCACAGTGCCAGGGTTCAATATACTGGGATCCTGTCTATATGCTCTATGTTTCTCCTGCATAGGAATTGCAGCAAAAAATTAGCATTTCCTCATAGTGGAAGGAACAACACAAATGTATAAAAGGAAAGAAATGCAAAATAAGGAAACAAAAATCCTTCCTGGTCATTCTGGAAAATACCACCCACATGCTTGGTTACATAAATAGAAAGGCTTCAGATTTGGCAGATTTGAACATGCCAGATCAGGTAGTATGTTACATAAGAAATTATATAATTTTGTCTCTCTCATTCTTAATCTTTCTCTGTCCTCTCTTCTTTTCACCAGGTTTGTCGCTTCCGAGGTTCCGTATTGGTGACCAGGAGTTTGACGCTCTCCCAGGTTTGCTAGAATTCTATAAAATCCACTACTTGGACACCACCACCTTGATAGAGCCCATCAGCAAGTCCAAACACACCTCCTTCATCAGCATTGGCCCTGGCGGAGGCCCACCCCCACGCCTGGAAGACGAGTATGTCCGAGCACTTTTTGATTTTCCTGGCAACGACGAGGAGGATCTCCCATTTAGGAAGGGTGATATTCTTCGAGTTCTTGAGAAGCCAGAGGAACAGTGGTGGAACGCCCAGAACTCTGAAGGCCGGGCGGGGATGATCCCAGTGCCATATGTGGAGAAGTACCGACCAGCATCTCCAAGTTCGGTGGCGGGGCCTGGCATGCCTGGGGGACCAGCAGGAGGGATGGGGGTGCTAGGGAACTCTGACAGCTCTATGGCCCAGCCCGCCACTCCACTGCTGGGAGACCCCAGCCAGTATGCCCAGCCCACTCCCCTTCCAAATCTCCAGAATGGACCTGTCCATGCCAGGGTCATACAGAAGAGGGTGCCCAATGCCTATGACAAGACTGCCCTGGCTTTAGAGGTAAATATGGATGTGTGTGCTATTCCTTGACCTCATGCTTTGTTTTAATGTGTGCTAGAAGAACAGACACATTTAGTCTGAGCTCACATTCCTTGGCTTGCTTTCTCATTGTGCTTTAGATTATTTCTTCCTCTGTATTTGTTGAGCAGAGTGAAGAGGAATCGGGGTCAGAAGGGGCTCAGACAGCTCTTTGTGTAGTTTTCTAGATAATCTGGTCATTTAATATTTGCCCAGTCAAAGTGTACTATTGCCCAGCCCGCCACTCCACTGCTGGGAGACCCCAGCCAGCAATAGTACACTTTGACCAGCGTCGGTTCTGTCCATAATGTTTATAAGCTTACTGTGTATTTCATTTCATATTTAACCTAATAGTAATCGATGAGAGGGTATCTAAATATCAAAACTACCATTAAGCTTTGCTTCCTGCTCACAGTGGCTGGATTGTTAAACTGCCCGGAAGCAAGAGCGAGGCTACCACAGAGCAGGTCGTTGGGGGAAGGAAATAGTTTGTGTTTGGGAACAGGTCCATTTCCTTTAGTCTCTGTGAAGCCAGGAGTCCAGCTGAGTGAGTGGGACTAGGAGACAGGCCAGTCAGTGTAGTCAGTGTGCTCTTATCTGTGCTGCCCTGCTAGACAGTACTGCTCAAGATGCCAGTACAGATCCCACCTTTGACTTCTCAAATCTGTGCCAGTCATTTCTTTGTGTGGAGCCAAACCACAAGTCTGCTGCTGTTGAGTGATTTGTCGTGCTCCCGCTCACGTGTCAGCTGGCAGAACCTTGGTTTGCTCATTTACATATGACAGGTTGATCCCTTGTATGACTTGGTTTCTGCCACTCCCGTCTGTGGTCGACTTTTCTGGCTTTGACGTGTTTTCTCTGTTAGCCAGTAGTGACTCAACAAAGTGGCAGTGGACAGTTAATCATTAGCCCATGTTTCCTGGGGGTCGTCTTCATAAAACTCACCGATTGTCAGGATACTACTAGAGCTGTAGTATCCTGGATTTTGTCAGTCAGCTCTCAGTGACCACATTAACATTGGTATTTAAATGCACAAGAGTGAAAGGAACATATTTCTGAGCATTTAAAAATCAATAAAAACAGATGCATATAATGCATCACTGAAATTGCGGCCTATTTAAATTGACAATACATAATGTCAGGCTGCCTTATGGATTTGTCGGAATAATGAGACAGGTAGCACACTTGTATTTCTGATGACACAATGCTTTTATAGGCTATTTTTTCTTCTGAGACATGGTTATAGCCTAGTTTACCACCAAGTTTGAGCTGCCATCAGTTAACCACAGAGCATGTTGTTATTGTGCGTTCAATGTGTGCCAGGCTGCACTGTGAACGGTTCCTTGTATTTACAATTCTGCATTGAAATGTTTTCCCAGCGCATTTTTTTTTTTCCAGTTTCCTAGTCCCATTTGGGTGGATGCATGTCGCACAAACAGTAAATGGCTGTGCGTTGCACTTTAACAAAGATAAATAAACAAATCAGACTCACATAACATTAGGCCATGCAAAACCAGCCACATGGTTGTGACAGTCATTTCTCTTGTAAAAGTAGACCAATGTGGTTGAAAACACTTCTAATAAAGTACCAATCTCACCTTAATGTGGCTTTTCTGGTGGGTTTTGTGGTCCTTTTCTCCTTGTTCTGCAATTTGCTAACATGCACATCCATGTATCAGACAGTGTCATCATTGAAGTGGCCAGTAGCCAGCAATGCACATTGTCAGACAAAAAATAAGATTAAATAAAAACAAGAGCTCAACTAGAAGAGTCTTTGTTGACTGACGGGACTCTTGACTAATGACTGGACTATTTGACTATTAGGGGGCAGCCCTAGATCTTACTTTATCCTCAGCAGCTGAAACTACCTTAGACTCTGTATGTAATTTATGTGTTGTATGTCATTTATGTACTTCTTCTATTGCACACAACTTGTCAGCATCATAAAACTGTGGCAGTGATTTATTATAAAAGTGGGCTTTTATAACTTAAAGTCCTGCAAGGCAATGGACAAAACACATTTTGGTTGGAAAGTAGTTGGCAGATTAATTTTTTGTTGGTCAGCTAAGGGATGAAACTCTCATACCTGAGACGACTACCTCTGTGAGGCTGATCCTGTTCAGTTTATTGTGGAAACTATGCCAAAGAGGAGTTTTGTAATTTTGAGGTCATATCTTGTGGTGGCACTTTACTGGATTGCATCATGGTTTTAGTGGAACTTTGAACTCCTCCCCCTTAATATATTGTAACTATGGAGCAAAAACACCCTCTGATCAACAGGCAGATTTTGAAAGAATCCAAAGTGAATTGCTCTGGGATGTCCTGAGCCAAACCTCTGGGTCAAAACTTGGTTATTGCATTAGTACCTGCTGTATAAAGCTCAGACCTTTTTGTAAAAACAGAAAGCAAACAAAACAACTAACATTTTTCTGTTAAAACACAAGCTTTTTCCTAACACAGCAGTGATGTGAACGAATGACCCATAAAACACACACAGCAGCCAGCAGTGTTTAATTAATATCCACAAGCAGCAGCAGAGCAAGCAGGCAGAGTCATGTTGAGCCAATACTGTGAAACTGTATGTGTCACTGTTTGCATCACGTGTGATTAGAGCTGTAACAAACAATTATCTGAATAGTTTTTACCTTTGCCAAGGTACAGGTAATGTTTTTGCCAGCGTTTGTTGGTTTGTTTGTTCATTCAGAGCATAACCCATTTGCTTCTAACTCCATACACAGCAACTCTAATGCTTGGACAATAATTCCACAATAATATCCACAAATACTAAAGTCTAATTTGGATCCAAGTAATATTCCAGATCTGCTGATCCAGAATGTTCTAATTTACAGGGTTCATGCAAAAGTCGCTACTGTGAGACAACAAATAATGCTACAGACTTGCAGCTAAGATGAAACTCTGCTGTCTCAGTGAGGTGTCAACAGATGGGACGTATGTTCAGAAGTTGAGCTACAGTATATAGCTGGGTCTAGTTGGTATATACCAACAGCCAGAACACAGAACAATCCCCGCCAACCCCAAACTAAATACATCTCGCCCAGAGGGGCATTATGGGGGACCCCACCAAGTGTCTCTCCACCCCCAGCACTACACTATATTTACAATATAATTCAGAGAGAGGAAGACTTATGGAACAGAATAAATGGTAAAACCACCTCTTTTTATCTAGTCACTTTAGCACTCTGTAGTCAACATGATGATAACGATGACACTGATGATGATGGTTATTGACTTATATTTCAACTGAAATACAATATAAACTGATCAATTGTGAGCTTGCTTTGCCATTTGTGTACACAATGTATTTGTAGCTTGTTTTTGAAGAACAATTTCTGCTCTCTGGCGATGTCTATGTTGCACAGTTTAGCTCTCTTACTCGCCGGGCTAGTCCCAGCTCACTTTTAGGACTAAAATTACCAGTAGACTGCTACTGAAAGAAGGACTTGATGGTGGGTTCAGCTACTGCTAGCTTCAACCTGGGACTTCACTAGATGTGAGTGGTGTGTATGTGCAACATATTTGATCTGTTCAATCCACGCACCGACTCCGACCCTCTGTGCAACGTCTCTTGTCAGAACAGCCGTCTGTCAGCAGGAGGACAGCACGGTCTTCACCAGGCTGACTGACAGCAGAAATGTACTGGACAAAAATAGTTTTCATGTAGGCAAGAAATCATCAGCGTTTATATCTTTATTCATTTTAATTTCCCCATATTGCTGCAAAGGACACTTAGGAAAACCTCACAGAGACACCAGGAGCCTGATCCATCAGAAGATATTCAAGTAAAATATTTCCCACATGTCCGTCCCTCCACAAAAATGCTGTGTGTTCATTAAAAAAAAAAAAAAAAAAAAAAAAATCAAACATTTTATAGAACAAACAGTTAATTGCAGCCGTGCATGTAATACAAACCATTTAGGACACTATTCTGCACTAAATAACACAGAACCACCGTAGGAAAGGCAGAGCTATTCAACTGTCAAACATATCTAAATTGCTTTAGTGTACGCTGTGCAGCCGCATGAGCAGGAAAAATAAAGCTAATAATTATACGTCTCATATCCAGGACACAAACATGTCATGTACATCTCATACAAGGAAGACTATCAGAACGGGTTATCAAACGGATAAAAGCACTGATGGAGTGTGTGTGTCTGAGGTTTGAGTGTCCCCACACAGCTTGAACCCCGACTCTGCTCAGTTATCACTCACCTAGATGTGAACTTTGAAACTGTCGCTTAGTCCTTGTTTGCTCAGGTTCAGTGACAAAGAAGCAGCCACTCCACTCCCTGTGCAGGTCAACTGAAATCATACACACTTCCTCCTGAAAGTCGGGCTGCAGTTAAAAACCATTTTTTATATCGAAAGCTAATCTGAACATTTTTTCCAGTAACTGTTTAGTTTATAAAATCTCAGAAAATACTGAGAAATTTAAAATAAGTAGTAATAAGTAATATATACCAACACTCAGGGTGACCTTTTCAAGTTTCTCCTTTTGTCTGGTGAACAGAGCTGCAGCACTTATTCAATTAATGGTTTAGTTATTTCAGCTACTAACAAATGTTACAAAGTGCTTCACAAATGAAAAATGTAACAGAAACAAAGGAACAAACATGATAAAACACATACTGGGAGCTGTATATACTGTATGACATTAAAATTAATATCTTTGTGGTTCGGACTGTTTGACCAACAAGCAACCTGTAGGCATGTACCTGTATGCAGGCTTGGAGATATCATGAATAGTATTTTTATTTAATTTTTTTAGACTAAATTGTTAATTGTTTAATTGGGAAAACAACTGGCAGTTAATGAATATGTCCATTAATTGAAGCCATATTTCTATAGGCACTTGTAGAACTGGAACAGTGGGAATACTGGTATTTTTATTTTCTAAATACTGTAACTGAAATACCTGACAACTACGTGAGGACAGTGGTTATTAGTTATTTAGACTTCTGCTGTACACATTTCAGCATGCTCACACCTTTTCACTCTCTCTTCCTCCCCAGGTGGGCGACATGGTGAAGGTGACCAAAATAAACGTGAACGGCCAGTGGGAGGGGGAATGTAAAGGCAAGCATGGCCACTTTCCCTTCACACATGTCAAACTTCTGGACCAGCACAACCCCGAATACGAACTCAGCTGAGAGCAGTCATCTGGGCCGCAACCTGGACACTAGTATTAGACCCTTCCTCACCACTTCTTATTTCCTTCCCCTTCCACACTCTCACCCACTCCCTCACGACTGCTCCAGCTTATATCTGAACCAAGTACAGTTTCAGAGAATCACTGAGGAAAAAACCAAACTGACCCATGTAATGCACACCCTCCATTTCTACACCTCTGAATAAGCATGCCTGCCTTCCTCTGCTACCTGACTGGCAGGGAGATGGGTCATATACTCTACAGTGGAATACAGAAGATACACTGCTGTTCTGTGGATGTGGTTTAGGATCCCCCCCCCCCCCCCCCCCCCTCCGCCCCACTCACACACCCAAACTACACAGGAGACTCCTCGCCAAAGAGTCCGACCACTTCCTCTTCCTGTGTCGGAGCCAGTAGATAACTGCTCAGCGCAGTGTCATTTTTCATCCTCATCTGTCACCATGGCTACAGCATTGTAGGATCACTCGTAGTGCATTCATGTCAAATGGGAATACAGTAACAAGTTGTAGACTAACAGCACATTTCACATTTTTCATGTGTTTTGTCTTGTTTGAAGCTGTTATGGTTATTGATTTTTTTTTTTTTTAATCAAATTTGTTTAACCTCTAGAGTCCTGAGCTTTGGAAACCCAAGCTGTGCGGTCCTCATATGAGGACGCAGGGACTCTAGAGGTTAAAGGAAAAGGCATTTTGGGAAATTTTCTTTTTTGCCAAGATATAGAAGAGAAGACCAGTAACACTCATGTATTTATGGTAACAATGTACAGTATCTGATCCACCTAATTAAAGACTGGTAGCAGGGAGAAACAGCTAGACTCGTTCTGCCCATAGCTAATGAGGTCCACCAAGCTGCACCTCTAAAACTCACAAATTACCACGTTCTATCGTGGTTGTTTGGTCCATATAAAAGCCAAAGTGTAAAAAAAACAAAAACAATTCACAGGTTTAACAGGGTTTATGTGCAGGACTGTTTCTTGGCCAGAACCAGTTGCTGGGCAACCATCTTAGGCTCCAGGAAGTCACTGCACCCTGCCAGAAAATAGTCCAACACATGATCACCTGTTAAACATTGACACCAAGTGTTGCTGACACTTGGTGTAACTAGGCAGAGTTTGTTGCCTTTGGAGCGAGCCAGGCTAGCTGCTTCCTCACATTTTCAGTATTTAAGCTACTTTAAGCTAACATGCTGGCTGTAGCATCATATTGATCATGCACGGGTGGTATAAATCTCCTCATCTGGCTCCTGGTAAGAAAGCAAAGAAGTATATTTGAGCTATTCCTTCACTCCTTATGATACATTTGAGCACAGTGAGTCTAACTTGCAGTGTCACCACACAGAAGATACAGTTACTCACTCAAACCTGCATGGCAGTGGTTTTTTTCCCCTGCATTTTCTCTCCACTGATATGTCCTTGATGGTGATATCTTCATTCAGGAAATTAAAGAAATTGGATTCCTGGCTAATGTAACACCTACCTTTTATGTCCCAATAACTGGACAGAACAATCTTCTCTGGCTACCTGCTGAGGTGAAGGAAATGTACTAGTTTCATGGTATCTACCTTCGCTCTTATTTGACATGAATGCAGCACTAATTTGGGTCAACCTGAGACAAGGAAAGATGAGAACAGCAAGGCTCAAAGGCCAGGACATCTGCAACATTTCTCACAGGGAAGCTTAACAGGAATAGCATGCCTCAGAAAGAACTGAAAAAGCTGTCAACTTGAAGGTGCACAGTTCTCCTCGAGGGGCAGACCGAGGACTGGTCCAGCCCACCAAGTATCACATGAGTCAAGACCAGCAGTTAAGAGCGCCTTGATGTAATCACAGCCGTAGAGCAGGGTCTAGCAGTGAACCTGAGAAACTTCAGTTGAGGGTGGGGTTAAAGGCAATACTACATTCAGCCTCTCCACACCTCTCACCTTAGCTCAATCAGTACCCATCCATCCATCACCTACAACCAATTACCACCAAGTAGTCTTTTTGTAAGAAAAATAAGATGTTATGAAATGGTATGCTATGTGATTATCATTACATGCTAAAATGTTTCTTTTGTTACTTTGTAGTTTTCTTTAAAGCTGGGTTTGTCCAGGGGGGAAACCATTTCCACAAACACTTTCTACCATTGCATATTTGGAGGGAGCAGTGGGTCACTGGTGCAAAACGGAACAACTAACTTGGAGGGGCACATCTGTTTGGCCCCAGCCTTTACAAGGCACCATGTGTTTTTAATTCTGCATCTGATGTAAATGAATGAAATTGAACAGAGTGACTATAGGCTGTCCACCATGTTAGTACCATCTTCTCATATTAGTGCTCTCCATTCAGCTCACTGAATATACCATAGAAAACTGACTACTCAGTGTCCAAATAAAAAGGTGGTGGTATAATTGGTACATGCCCTTTTTAACCTCTTAATCTTGCACTGTTCTTTTAATCCTCAGTCTTATCAGCCTATGTCTCCTTTGTGTTTCCTCATTTAATCCTCTGCCAGTCTCAAAGCCAGTCTTGTCCACTTATGATGTGCACACAATCATTGACTTTTTCTTTACCGTTTTATTGCCACTCTCTGCCATTTCTGTATTGCCAAAAGATCAAGATTGCCGTCTTCCCCAAAGAGGTTTTCTGTTGAAGATCAAATTAATCGACGTGACACCTGACAGTTATCACCCACAATTATATAGCAGACTGGTTTGGATTGAAGCAGGCTGGGTATGTAGCTTAGACCTTTTCTAAAGTGATTCTGGTCCACTTTGAATTTGATCTGTGAGAACTTGCTGTCTCCCAAGTGAAAGAGCTCCTCTTAGTTGTCGTGGTACGGTAGCAAACCATGATACCTTTAGGTGGCACTGTTGCAACATTCAGGAAGATGGTATTCTTCTGGAAAGTGTATTTTGCCAGTGGTTATGTGATTAAAGGAGGCAAAATTTGATTAACGGAATGCACTTAACTGCTTTTACACTGAGTTTGCATTGAAATGCTCCCCTTTTTATGGTTTTTAATTATTAATTAATTGTAGTTAAGATCAAATCAAGCTTCCTTCACTCACTGCACATGGCAGTGCTTAGCTCCACAAATCACCATCTTATAAATTGTGTTGCAAATTAAACCACCAAGGAGTATTTTTTTTAGTAGCCCTGCATGAAATAATTCATTTCCTTTCATGAAAAGGAAGGGGTGGCAAAATGTCAATGAAAATTGTGTTAACATCAAAATGTGCCATTTTATTACAACACTATATTCTTTCAGACCGTTGAAATTCCCTTTTTATTTTCTGTAGCATGTAATGTGTTAATATACTAGTAAATAAAGTCAAACCCATGTAAGATTAATTGTTTAATTTATTGTGTGTGTATGTGTGTGTGAGAGAGAAGCTTGCGCTGCTGAGTCAGGAAACAGCTAGTACTTGAAAAATACATTTAAGGAATATAATTTGTATTTTAATTTTTAACTGTAGAGTTCATAACAAACTGCTGGACTATTCCTGTTGGCAGTGAAGAGGTATTTTTCAAATGGCATTGTTTCACATATTGAGAAGAACAAACTAAATTAGTTTGTAAACATACAATGATGGAATATTGCTGTTGGAAAAAATATTTTAAAAGAACATGTAAATTACACAAAAAATACTGAACTTGCTTGACTTTTGCCCATTTGTAATGGTTATTTAATGTCATTATCAATGAAAGCATTTAATTTTAACATTACCTCAATGAGTTTTATTGAACAGTTTTGTTTCCAAGAACAACTATATTTTTGTTGACATAAAAGAAATAGGAAAGTCATTGCTGACTGAAGCGCACTCAAAAAGTAAATGTAGCCTAAGTTATTCTGTTGGCTTATGTTTTTTGAGATAGTAATATTTTGAGATAGTATTACAGGGATAAGGTGTAAGCTATTTGCTTCAGACCATTTAACTGAGTGTATTTTGACTGGAGGGTGGTGATTTATTGATGCAACAGTGCAATCCAAACCAATCTGGAAATGTCAAATTACCATATATTAAAGAGTCAGTTCCCTAAAATCACTATACTATATACAGTCATTCCCAAACATATTTGAGATCTCTCCACAGGTGCTCTATGGGATTTAGACCTGGACTCATTTCTGGCCACTTCAGAACTCTCCAGCACATTGAAGCCATTTCTGGTGCTTTCTGAAGTCTGTTTTGTTTCATTGGCCTGCTGTAAGACCCATGACCTCTGACAAAGACCCAACTTTCTGACGCTGTGCCCCAGAATTTGTTGGTAGTCTTCAGATTTCATTATGCCATACACACAGTCAAGACACCCAGTGCCTGAAGCAGCAATGTGACCCCAAAACATCTGTGAACCTCCACCGTCTTTGACTGTAGGGACTGTGTTCTTTTCTTTTAAGGCCTCACTTTTGCTTTCTGAAAACAGTAGAATGATGTGCTCAATCAAAAAAAACTATTTTAGTCTCATCTGTCCCTTGTCATTCAGATGGTGACAGATAGTGCAAGCTGGCACTTGCACCCTATGCCTGCAGGTCAGCTTGAATTTGTTGATCAAGGTTATTTATCCACCATTTGAGCAATCCTTTGTTGCAATCTGTCATCTGTTTTTCTCCTTCCTCCACATCCAGGTGGTGAAGGTAGCTTTTGTTTGTGTCACAACGCAGCCACAAACCTCGGTAGCACTGTATTTTTAGAGAAACATTGCTCTGTGGAGGAAAGGCACACTGCTGTTGTGTTTTTCAACTGTTATGTTATAGTACATTGAGCACCACAGTCACATGATTTTGAATTGTAAAGGAGTTCACAAGGCAGTGTCATTTTACAGATGTTTCTGGAAAAGACTGTTCTTACTAAAGTGATCAACCAATTGAAAGTACAACATGATTAATGTACATATAAATTATAAACTCAATAAAGTGATTCTGTGACAGTAACACTTTAAAGAGCATACAGAACAAACAGATTACTGCCCACTCTTCATAAAAAATATGAAGTACGGAAGGCGTTTCAGAGCTGATCATTTATGTGCGTATGTGCAGTACGTACCCGGATGAAGCCAGTCGCCATCTTTACTCTAGCCTAGCGCTGCGCTACCGGTCGGGCGGAACACCACTCATAGACCCAGTTGGTTTTTAGGATCCCCTCACAAGATTTGGCACACCACCTTGATTTTCACTAAAGATTTGTTAGTTTGATTAGTTCGCTGCTCTACCTGCATCTCGATACACAATGGGAGAGCGAGATGACCAAGTTTATCAGGCAAAACTTGCCGAGCAGGCAGAGCGATATGACGGTAAGCTGCGCTTTCAGGGCTGGCTCGGAGTGGGACATGTTCACCGCTGGGATTTTTTTCTGCGAGCTAGCTAATGTTAACAGTGTGTAACTAGGTAGCTCAGTGTTAGCCGTGGCTAACAAGGGACCTAACGTGTCTGCGACCGCCGTCGCTTTTCAGCTGACCATTTCATTGACATGGTATTGACGTGGCTTCTTGTTAGAATTAACTAATCAGACACTAAAACAACAACCAATGCACGTAAGCCTCAGGATTTAGAGAAAATGTACGAATGTGACTGATAGTGGCTAACGCTAGCGACGAGGGCTACAACAAAATGGCGGATTATTGGAGCGTGAGCTGTCAAGTTGCCTCCCCTACACCATGCTCCTCTGTAGCTTAACATTGGAGCAGCTGATGAGGTTAGCTCCATTAAGCAACGCCCAGTGGCATTTTGTTGTCTTCGTACCCACAATAAATACCAAGTTTTTGTGATCTTGTTACCGGTGTTAACTAACTTGTGTTACCTGGGAGTTCGTACGAGGGGCCTGCTGTGTGTTAACACTGAGTGGCAAGGCAGCTGTTCATTTAGTGGGGTGTTCCCCCGCAAACGGGCAGTACGGATCGATTGGTGAAAATGACCCCCTCTTCCTCTCTCTGGTCCACTCCTGTCAGACTGTCATACCATTGCAGGCCTTGTAGAGGCTGTTTTTAGACGGCTGCCTTTGCCACCGGTCATAGGTTGCCCAGTAACGTTAAGTGAATGTGCCATGACTCATTCACGGGATTTGGACCGAGTGTGATTTATGGTTTACTGGCCAAATGGCAGGCGTGCTGGAATGTAACGTTAGCCGAATTTATACTTTTCCCCCTAACATGTTACCAATACCTGAGACGATTTGAAAGACATTTTAAAATAGAAATTCACATATTAACCTTGGAAAAGCCACGTTCCCTAAATTACGTCAGACACGGTTGGCTCTTTTAACACTTAACCTACAAGAGAACAACCTACCCTGTCAGATGTCATTACTGGCATACAACTGCAGTGTACTTCACCCTAAGTACATAAAATATTAGTGAAATAAGTGGGTTTATGTGTGTGTGTTTGCTGGATAGGTGGAGGCTTCCTGCTGTTAAGGAAGTTGCCTTAACGCCCTTTGTCAGGTCACAGTCAAACCTGTCTTGCATATGTATAAGCTATAAATTATGTGTAGCATTTGGGCTTCATTGTTAATGCATTTTTTCACCCAACCGAAAGCCTATGGACTTCTGAAGCAGATTTAATTGGCATACTGTTGATATTCCCTGAATATGTCCAGATAAGTATTTGCCACCTGGAGGCTTGATACCACATCATCACAATGTAATTGATGCTGTAGTTTGAATATATCAGTCATGAAATTTCTCACGTCTATACACATGAAATGTAATTTTGTCAGCCAGCATGAAAAGATTAACCAGTAGTTTGTATACTCTCAAGGTGCAAGGTTGATGAGAAACATTTCAGTAAAATATCAGGTCTTAAAGAAGTGTTACTTGTGTCTCCTCAACAGAAATGGTGGTGTCAATGAAGAACGTGGCAGGCATGAATGTGGAGCTCACAGTGGAGGAAAGGAACCTACTATCAGTGGCCTACAAGAATGTGATTGGAGCTCGGAGAGCCTCTTGGAGGATAATCAGCAGTATCGAACAGAGAGAAGAGAGCAAGGGTGGAGAAGAGAAACTGAAGATGATCCGGGAATACAGGCAAACGGTACAGCACTCAGTAAACACTCTGGATTTCTTTTCTCAAAAACAAGCTTGGCATTTGTATATAGGTGGTGTCTGTCAGGAGCACTTAACATGGATCCTCTATGTCCCATTATCTCAAATGTTTTTCTCATTTTAAAGTGTCTTGGATTTGCTTTGCTAATGTGAAAACATTTGCTCATAATAATACTATGAGAAGCTACTGGACAGACTGCATCTGAGTCATAGTTGGCAAGCCTTGCACTCTCTCTTGCTTTTATGAAGGGAAATTAGAGCCAGCTATTATTGTGGGAGAGGCCAGAGAGTGTGTCAGAGATGGGAGAGGCAGCTGGACTGCAGTAAGTGATGGGTAATAGGATGGGTAATCCTGCTGTTGCACCACCTTAACCCCCTCGAGAAACACATTTTTCTTTGACTGCTACAGCACCTGGTGAGCATTTAATATCATATAAATTGGATTAGTATCCATTAAAAATGAAGCTACTTAGCAAACAACAAAACTGTTCAGTGGCAAGTAAATAATGATTTTGCTGATGGAGTAATTGTGCTTTTTTGTTTCTCTGTTTGGTGGCAGGTTGAAAAGGAGCTGAAGTCAATCTGTGGTGACATTTTGGATGCACTGGAAAGGCACCTACTCCCCTCTGCTGTCATGGGAGAGTCTAAGGTTTTCTACAATAAAATGTAAGAGCTATATGGTGAATAAATGTACACAGAATGCTGAACACACTTATGTTTTGACATTTGCTCATTTGTTTGACACATTCATGTGAGTGAATATGGAATATTCAGATCTACATTCCAGACAGAAAATTTGACAAAGTTAAAACGATGACAATATAAGGACAATTCACAAATGGGACATTTTGACAAAAATATGGTTTTGTGTAAAGTGAAGGCTCAAGTAATGAGTTAAGTACCTGGCTCTGTCAGTACCATCTTAGTTCAGCACTTTATTTGTAATATTGTTGTACACTTCTGAAAGTCAAGTTTTCCCCCAACTTCAGGAAGGGTGACTACCACAGGTACCTGGCAGAGTTTGCCACTGGCAATGACAGAAAGGAGGCAGCAGAGAACAGCCTGGTGGCCTACAAAACTGCTACTGATCTAGCCATGTCTGAGCTGCCACCCACACACCCCATCCGCCTTGGTCTTGCCCTCAACTTCTCCGTCTTCTACTATGAGATCCTCAACTCACCTGACCGTGCTTGCAGGTCAGTGTTTCTTCAATACAGTGTCTCAGTTGTATGTCTTAAGTTTCATCAACAATGGTAAAGCAGAGTGATCTTTTATGTACATATGAAATATGTGACCATGAGGTTTAGAAAGGGTCCAAAGTGTAGGAGCCTTGATAGCAAAGAGCCATCTCCTGCTTTCACTCTACCTACACTAATCCTCCTCCGTTGCCCTGCTTAAGTAGACATTCTTACCCTTTGTTTGTCCCGCTGTGCCCTTTGTTGCTAGTGACGCTGAACATTTAAAGCTTTTGTTTGTTTAAAAAAAATGCCCCACATTGGCCTATTTAATGTTGTATCATATTACCACATTAATTTACATTGGATGCAGTAAGGCTTCTTTGGACGTGGATTAATAACAAAAAACCCTTTAACACAAAACAGTTGATTGTATTAACTTCCTCTTTAGTTTGGTAGTGACACCTTTTTACTGCCCCCCACCCCCCACACATTCCCTCATCTTTAAAACATTGCTCTAACACTGTCAGGTTGTATGATAATTGTGACTGTACAGCAGTTTTCCAAGTCCTGCCACACTTTCTGCTTTGGACTGAGACCTACACTAACTAACTTGGCCCTGTTAGGGCATGAACATGGTGTTTTGAAGGCATACATGTGTACCTTTGGGTTTATGTTCACATATACATAAAGGAATACGTAACGGCATCTTGCGAGCAAAGGAGAATGGGGTCGATGCACAAAGTCACGGACACAAGTGCATATTTCTTATTTTAATGTTACAAAATCTTGATTATCAATAAAATCTCTATTACAGTTCAAGCTAGGTGTTCAGTTTGGCACTGGCATCAGCTTCCATCTCACATATCACTGCAGTCAATACTGGCTGACAGCATGAATCCATAAGAATATGGCGATTTCAACAGAAGTGCTAAATGTTTTTGCTCAGGTTGGCGAAGGCTGCTTTCGATGACGCCATCGCGGAACTGGACACACTGAGTGAAGAAAGCTACAAGGACTCCACACTTATCATGCAGTTGTTACGTGACAACCTGACACTATGGACTTCAGATATGCAGGGAGAGGGTAAGAAGCTCATTCCCCGGTTCCCTTTCATTGTACTTACATAGACCATTGTGTTCTCTGACGCTTGATGTCTGAAAGTGTATCCACCTGTTTGGTCTCTGAACCTATTTCCAGGACTAGATGCTGATTGATGAACTAACAGACACCTCACTTATTTCCTATTACCCACTTGCAACCTTATACCTTGGATTTATAATGTGTCAGTACTGTGAGCAGTCTGATCTCTTCAGTCAGCAGCAATGCAAGACATACACATTGTTTATAATATTGTGCTTTTTTCAAGAAAAGTAAGCCACGTACCTAGCTGATGTTTAAGGGAGCGGTCATTGCATTAATATAACCTAATATTCTGTAGCTAGCAAGATGCTCGTTTATCAAAACAATCTGTCCCTTTGACTTCTGTTACCCTTGTGTGCAACTATGTTTTGCCAGTTGACATTATGTTTTTGGGTTGTCTGTATGTCCGACCGGCCCATTCTTGTGAACAAGATATGTCAGGAACACCTTAAGGGAATCTCTTCAAATTTGGCAGAAGTGTCCTCTCCCACATTGGCCTATTTAATGTTGTATCATATTACCACATTAATTTACATTGGATGCAGTAAGGCTTCTTTGGACGTGGATTAATAACAAAAAACCCTTTAACACAAAACAGTTGATTGTATTAACTTCCTCTTTAGTTTGGTAGTGACACCTTTTTACTGCCCCCCACCCCCCACACATTCCCTCATCTTTAAAACATTGCTCTAACACTGTCAGGTTGTATGATAATTGTGACTGTACAGCAGTTTTCCAAGTCCTGCCACACTTTCTGCTTTGGACTGAGACCTACACTAACTAACTTGGCCCTGTTAGGGCATGAACATGGTGTTTTGAAGGCATACATGTGTACCTTTGGGTTTATGTTCACATATACATAAAGGAATACGTAACGGCATCTTGCGAGCAAAGGAGAATGGGGTCGATGCACAAAGTCACGGACACAAGTGCATATTTCTTATTTTAATGTTACAAAATCTTGATTATCAATAAAATCTCTATTACAGTTCAAGCTAGGTGTTCAGTTTGGCACTGGCATCAGCTTCCATCTCACATATCACTGCAGTCAATACTGGCTGACAGCATGAATCCATAAGAATATGGCGATTTCAACAGAAGTGCTAAATGTTTTTGCTCAGGTTGGCGAAGGCTGCTTTCGATGACGCCATCGCGGAACTGGACACACTGAGTGAAGAAAGCTACAAGGACTCCACACTTATCATGCAGTTGTTACGTGACAACCTGACACTATGGACTTCAGATATGCAGGGAGAGGGTAAGAAGCTCATTCCCCGGTTCCCTTTCATTGTACTTACATAGACCATTGTGTTCTCTGACGCTTGATGTCTGAAAGTGTATCCACCTGTTTGGTCTCTGAACCTATTTCCAGGACTAGATGCTGATTGATGAACTAACAGACACCTCACTTATTTCCTATTACCCACTTGCAACCTTATACCTTGGATTTATAATGTGTCAGTACTGTGAGCAGTCTGATCTCTTCAGTCAGCAGCAATGCAAGACATACACATTGTTTATAATATTGTGCTTTTTTCAAGAAAAGTAAGCCACGTACCTAGCTGATGTTTAAGGGAGCGGTCATTGCATTAATATAACCTAATATTCTGTAGCTAGCAAGATGCTCGTTTATCAAAACAATCTGTCCCTTTGACTTCTGTTACCCTTGTGTGCAACTATGTTTTGCCAGTTGACATTATGTTTTTGGGTTGTCTGTATGTCCGACCGGCCCATTCTTGTGAACAAGATATGTCAGGAACACCTTAAGGGAATCTCTTCAAATTTGGCAGAAGTGTCCTCTTGGACTAAAGGATGAGCTGATTAGATTTTGGTTGTTGAAGGTCAAATGTCAAGGTCAGTGAGCTCACATCTTTCCCAGTCTCATGAATTTGACTGGTTGGCAGAGGCATAGGACCATGAAAGTGATAATTCCAGTTTCTTTGTTGTTCTGTTTATCCAAGATAAATACATTTGGGGCTTCTTCTGAGTTGATCACACAGCAACTCCCTTGTGCCATGGTGACTCAAATAAAGGCTAAACGTATCTTAGTTGAATTTTTGACAGAACCAGGGACAAATGAAATAACAAGGAAACCTGTTAAAGGTCAGTGGCATTAAAAAGTGAAGCTGTTACTGAAATGCTGATCACTTAGATCAGGTCAGGCTTTCATGGCATGGATCATGATGCTCACAGTGTGCATGTCCAGTCTGTTGCAGATTCCTGTGTTTAACTTGTATGGCTGAGCAGAAATCAGCCCTCCAGAGTGAAAATTCATAACCATCCTATCTAACAGAGATCACCTGCTTTTTTCTGCCTTGCAGAATAACCTCTAGGGCCGAACAATTTGAGGACAACGTTCAGTTGTAATTCTTTTTATTTTTTAAATAAACCAGAGATAGAATATACTATAAAACTGTAAAATAGTTAAGGTTCTCTCAAGTTGTTCAAGTCAGGTGCACATTCTCAGATTTCACCAGAAAAAAAAAAATTCTGTAGAAAGTGAACCAGTTTAACTTGCATTTCTGAATTTCTCATTTAAAAGCTCTATATGTGTTGATAACAAGTACATGTACTTGGCTACTTAAAGTAATAATGACAAACTACTGGTAAATCAAACCTAACGGTTTTTATATATGAGACTCATAATCCTTAATACTACTGGGCTGCAGCTGCTTTAGCTAACGTTAGCTTCACTGACTGACAGGACAGACTACTCGGCAGCCCTGAATACTGGAGCTCCTGATTTCAGAGATTTTAAGCTTAAATATGATACAGAATGAGATTCAGTCCGTCTACCAGCTGTCTGTCATTAGCTCTCAACTGCCAAGCTACTTGAAACTGAAGTTTATGTAGGAACAGAGCAGACTCGCCACTCTCTTTCTATAAACAGCAAAAAGATGCAGTCCACTCATTTTTATTTAAATTCAACTGTTAGAGAGTGGCATTTCTCCTTCCACAAATCGTCTTTGGAAAAGTATAAATTGAATAGTTATCTCAGTTTTGCTGATCCAGTAAACAAACTACAGCAGAGTAAATCCACCCTATGTCCTTACAGCTGTTGGACTACAGGTTTACAGCTTGTTAAGACGGTGCTCATTATACAAGATCACATGACTCATCTTGCAGTATAAAATTTAAATTGTGATTTTGATATAAAACTGCTAAATCACTGAGCACTATTTAATCCGTTCTTTCTCTTTCTCCGCCGATTCTAGCCGTTTGCATTTGCTATGTTGCCCAGCGTCCACTGGCACCTTTTCTTTCTTAGTGACTCATCCTCTCTTGTCTTCTTCTCATTCCCTCTGCTGTAGAGTCCTAAAGGAAACAAACCTGACTGTTCATTTCCCATGTTAACTGTACTTTGTAAGTGTTGTTCACCCAAGCCTTGCTGTGTGTGTGCTCCTACCTTCTTGTTCCTCTCAACGCTAACACACTCATGGTTTAATAATCCAGTCCACTCACTGTTGCTTGGTCACTGACTAATTTGGTTGGATTTTTTTAAATGAATTTTTGGTAATAGGTAATCTTTTGATCTTTCCATTGCACTCAGTGGAAAATGAACTTTCTCGAGTGTAGCTGAGTTTAACTTCTGTTTGTTTAGAGTGTTGTTTAGAGTGAGAATCTGTATCTGCCCCATAGAGCAGAGATTTACATCGTTTTACTGCATGCCAGACCGCTTGCACTCTCGCCACAGTTCAGTTGACTTATCACAGCCCCTGGTTAGGAAGAACCATGACTGATACATTAGTTGTCCTTCTCCACTGAGATTGAACAGATGTTTTCAGGTGTATATGCATGTGTTCAGTTTTGTGTGAAAGTTGAACTGACTCGACTTTTTTTTTCCTCTTTGCACTTTTTGCTTCTGTGAGGTTTTCACACTGTCAGGCTTTTTTTATTTTATTTTTTTTACACACTTTGGTAGAATGAGAGATTGTGGTTCATACTCTGACACCATATTTCAGTCTTCACTCAAAATTGGTGAACGTTACATTTGGGATCAGCATGCATTTTGACTGATGTTGACGGTTGATATTTACACTAAAAGGGCCCAGAATATTTAGGATGGTACAGGTCAGTTTAAACAGATTTTCACCAAATGATTATCTGTATGTTCCCACACAATCCAAAACCTATTTGCTGCAAGAAGTCAGAGCATTTGTTTTCTGCTACTTTATGCTAGTGAATATTTTCAGATTTTTGATTTAAACGCATTCACCGCATGCATCATCCAGCCATTTTAGTTTGGAGCTGAGTTTCTACAAAAGAAAAAAATCTGCAGGTGTTTTAAGTGCATTTCAACCTGTTTTCATTGCACCATCAACTTGTCTCGAGTATTTTGGGAAAGTTCAGTGTTTCATAATTCTAGTGCATTTAAACCCTCCTCCATATTTAGAGTTACATTCACTTATTTCTACAGCATTTTTTTTAAAAAACAACGAAAACAGTTTGAAATATCACTTGTTTAAAAAAATGGTTTTTGACTTGATTATAGATGGAAATCACATACTGAGCGTGGGGATTTACCAATGAAACTAACAGTGTATAAAGTAGCTAGAATGGGCTCCTCCTCTACAAACTAAAACAGCACAGTGCGACTTTATACATTTAGCCAATAAAACTAGGTTATGGTAATAAAAAAAAGTATACTATAATATTGCAAAGTTTTGCCATCACGTTGAGACTCCATTCACAGCAAACTAAATCCTCTTGTAGCAACAACAGTAGAGAAACAATTTTTTCTCATGGAAACTGAAGATAAAATATGGGAAAACATGAAATTTGAATTTCTTTATTACTGTTTCAGAATGTCATTTCCAGACTTGTTTTTTTCTAAAAATGGAGAATGATGGACCTTCCCCCAAGGTTTAAGCTTAGCTGTGTGAGTTCATTGGCCTTTCCACCAAATGTTAGACCTGCCCGTGTCTCATTCTCCATTAAGGACAGAGAAGTTGTTTTTGAATGATCGGTCAGATCGTGGAGAGCTCAGGAATAAAAAAACCACTGACTGTATGTTCTCTCCATCAGCTGAAGAACAGAGCAAAGAGGCACTGCAAGATGTTGAGGATGAGACCCAGTGAGACTATGCCACCGACAGCCAACAACTTGAGACCCTTTCCTCACACTCCTTGTCTCCCCCCAAATCCTCCTCACTTCCTGTGAGTCACCTTCCTCTTCCCTTTCTCTCCTCCTCTTTCTCCCACCTCTGGAGCCCTGTGACCCAATAGGGCCACAGACTTTACGGCAAGTTTATTTTTCTTTTCTTTTTTTATTTTTATATTAGCCCTTACATCATTCAAGTAAATACCACTTAATTGAGACAGGAAATACAATGTTAGAAAGAGTCCCTGGATTATTTTACCTTATTTTTTCTGTCCTGGTACAAGCGGTTCTGAAACGTTATCTTTGTTTTCATTATTTTTGTTTCTGCTTTTTCCTCAATATTTTTATCAGTTTGCTGGATGTATTGAGAATCTTTTTCTTAATGTAATTACAGAAATTAACTTTTATTACTGATAATGTTGACTATTAGTTATGGGAGCTGTTTTATCTCAGTTTTTAGTGAAATGTCATGCAAATCATTTTACCTTTTTATGGGCAATTTGGAAAAGTACAAGTGCCCTTTTTTGTTGACAGGTTTTCAGAGGAAGTTGGCAAAATTCGCGATATCCATGTGGGGCAAAGAAGTGCTTAACTTTTATAACATAGTGATTCTGTTGTGTTTTTCTAGTTGTCTTTGGACTGTAACTTGTGCTGAAATACTGTAACTGTGCACACATGCTGAATCTCTGAGGGTGGGCTAGCTGGTGGTTTTAATTTAAAATTAAAAAAAAGAATTGGGAGATTTATTTTTCACTTGTGTAAGTGCAGTGTCAATTTGGCCCCGCTTCTCAACAGAGAGCCCCAAAGTCAAGATTGTCCATGCTTGCATGAGTTAACACATTTTCTTTTCTGCTGCTTCTCCCTAACTTTTCTCTAAAGATCCTCTAGGTTCAAAGGGTTTATTTTCTGTTGCCATTCGCTTAGTTTTCTCTTCTTGTTTTGTTTCATTATGTGTAACTTGGAGCTGATTTGTACTACTGGATATCTGACTGGAGCCACAGACAGGGAATCTGTATTGTTCTTACTGAATCACAGCATGGAATTAACATTAAACAATCTAAATTAAACATTACAAACCGACTCGTGTTTGCTTCATTTGGAAGATGCACTTTGCTGCTTTTATCTTTTCTCTGTTATGTGAGCAAATATAATCAATGGAACAGTTTGTTCACACAGGTTCATGAATTAAACTGTCCTGCAGCTACTACAGGCTGTTAACATTTGCATTACAACCTTATTAAATGAAGTTTTACATATTATGCCTGTCTTTCATAATTCCAATGTGTCAGTATTGGATTTCTTAAATCCACAAACCAGATGAACCACAGTGTTGCCACATACAGAACAGGTGCTGCTGGAATCTGACTTGGCAACAGTGAGTCAAACATAAATTTGTGTGTTCTATTTATAGCATTTGGGAGACAATCTTCATGTCTGTGTAGCTGATGCCGTTACACTTCAGAGCTGCTACTGTGTGAGTGGCTGATGAAGTGATGGGCCAAAGTCTGGTGGCATGAAACTCACTAATATGGTGGATCCAGTTGATTTAATGGAGCCAATGCGTTTTTTGACACAGTCATTTTTGTCTGGTTGGTAGGTGTTCAGGGAAAGTGAATTGGACCCTATAAACCACAAATGTAAAATAAGAACAAGCAATTTCATCTTCAGTTTTCTTGGAAATTGAACACTGCGCTGCTTTTTTGCAATATTGTACATTGTTAATTCAGCTATAGCCTACGAGGCTGGTGGGTTATTGATCTGATCAAGGATATCACTATTTTTAATAATTTATTTTCAGAATCTGTCATAACTATCAATATATGTAGAGCTGATTATATCACTAGCGTGTTTACTGTCTATATACTGTGTGTATATAAGGTATACTTTTAATTATATGCATTATGGCACTGTTGGTCTTAAACTGAGTCCTCCACTTTGGATTTCCATGAAGTTTGTAATGACATTCATGGCCCCCAGATGATGATTCCTAATGATTTTGGTGATTCTCAACTCCTCTAGTTCCACCACCATGTCTAAAATTTCATTTATCCAGTGAAATATTTCAACATCCATTGGACAGAATAGCAGAGAATCCAAATGACTTCAGTGATTTCACAGTTTTGCCTGTAGTGCAACCACAGAGTTGACGTTATGGTTTTTATTTAAGCTTTATGACAGTGTTTGTGAATCCTTTTGTCTATTTTACATTCATGTTGCTCTTAACTCAGTATTCTGTAAAAATAAGTGACATCTGCATATATGAGCAACTAAGAAACACAGAAATGGTAGGTTTATTAGAGGTGATGTGAAAGAACCTGACCACATTTCTTTTCTCATACAGGAGACCACACTTTACTCTCTTTGGATGACTGTGCAGCAGCTCCTCTAGTGCCCCCTGCAGGTCATATCTGGCACACACAACAAGAAGGCATTTGACAAATCATTTCACAATGTTGTTAACTGCTTAAGTAGGTGTTTATATGATGAGAAGTAAAGTGACCTGGAGATCATATGTCACTGGACTGAGAGCTGGGTGATCTGAGTGGATGACAGGACATCCTCAGGCCAGGTAGGTAAATACTAGGTGCTATATATGACTAATCTAAATCTCTTCTTTTGCTCTAGTAGTAAATCAGCATCAACTAAATCTTTTGTAGGCCTATTCCATTTCCACTTAAGGCTATAAGTGTAGCATTTGAAAAATGTAATCCCTGTTGTGACACCATGGCCTAATAATTATCAGACTATTGGGCCAATCTTGAGATAACTGGGAAAACATTAAAATTTACTACTGGGCCCCTGATGTGTCAACATTCTCATCGAGTACCCTGTACTCAGTGTACTTTACTCTAGCTTCATCACATTTTACCCAAAGAAACCCAATACTACTGCTCTGGGTCCAGGATTTCTTTGGGTGAGTTGATTTGTGGTAATTAAACAAAGTACTTTAATAGAAAGGTTTTTATAAAGCTGCCCTCAACTCCTCCACTGACCAGCCTGCTGTAACATGAAACCTCAAGATGGCAGCAAGTCCCAGCTCATCTGAAATCACTTCACTCACCCTAAATTAATTTCAACATTTCCATAGGAGATGGTGGTGGATGTGCTGGAACATAACAAAGTGCCACAGCTTAACTTTCCACTCATTATATTGGAAGACTCTGCTCTCCAGAGTCACTGGCCTCCTCTTCTACATCTGTAGCCTCCTGTAGCTTCCCCTGCCTTCCTGTGGAAACTGGAAACTGCAGCGGTGTTCTGTTGTCAGGGCAATAATACTGCTTGCAGAGTGGGATCCGGGGAACAAGCGTCCATGAAATATTATGAACTTCCTCTTCTTCTGCAGAGACAGCAGTTATAAATAGACAGGTTTATTTTCAGGCAGCACTTGTGAGATTTACTCAACCCCGATCTGATCTGGTCTGGGCTGAGTCGCCATGTGGGATTCTGTTACAGGCCTGTACCACAATTATACAGCGAGATGAACCTGTGAGCCACAGCTCACTCTGTCCTGCCTCATTGCCCTTCAAATCACCATACAGTGTCCAAGTGCCCTCTGTCCATGGAACAAACTGAATGTGTGCACGATGAGCACACTTCTGTGTAGCAAACATGACTGATCCAGGAAATGCAATAGGCCTATATATAGCGCTATACTGTTAATGTTTGACCTTGTGCATGTGAATGTTTTCATTGTTTTATTATTGGGTTTTGTGTGTGTGTGTGTGTGTGTGTGTGTGTTATTTTTAATGATGAGGCCAACACGTTTTCTGCAATAGTGGGACAACAAAGTTCTATTCCTTTGTCAACCATTTACATTTTTCAATAAATTATCCAATGGTTTTAACAAGTTTTAGCAAAAGCAGAGGGACCCGTGGTTCACAAGGTGCATGCCATATACCTGGTTTAAACACATAAAAGTTACATTTGCACCATTTTCAATTAAAACCTCTGTAAATATCTAAACACAGCCACCACAACTAAATACAGAATGATTATAATCACTATAATAATGATTATTAAGGAATCAAATGGCCTATTTATTATTATTGTTATCACAGCTGTTGGTAGTATGAGTCAGATAATGTGTTTATGTGTCCTCAGAGTCTCTGGCAGGAGCCAGTTCTCATTGTGATTCATCTTCAATCCACTGAAGCAGAGGAAACAAGGCGAGACATATTCAGCGCACATACAGTATACACACAAAAGTAAATAGATTTTTTTTTTGAAACAAGCATTAGGAAGAGGAAAAAGTGCATATGACCTCTCATGCACTACTGTAACCTCTGACATACAGTATACCTCCATAGGAAATGAAAAGAAAGGAAATATACTCTCTAAGTTTTAACAGATGTGATGAGATGGGCAGGAAATTAGGAAAACAGATGATTTACAGCCATTGTGTGACATGGATTTATAGTCACATTTACCATCATTAAGATGTTTTCTTTTCATAGAAACCATAAAATAAACCACCAAATATGTTAACATGAATGTCTGCAGCTGTGAATATGAATTTACAGCTTAAGAAACTACATCAATTTGTATTACAGTTAATGAACTTCTGCAGCATTCTGTAACCCTTACAAATGATCTATGTTTGTGGTCAAAACATTGTTTCATCTGACTTTCATTCTGCATTAAGGAACAATAGTGTGCTTATCTTGGAAGTCAGTCGCTCTTAAAGTATGTGTTTTTATTTTAAAATAGAACTGGGCAGAGCCGAAACTGCTCCGAGGCTACACAGGCCTCAGGTTTCCTGTTGATGCCAGGTTGTCAGTAATCCCTCCAGCAGGGGTCAGAGGTCAAAGGATGTGTGTCACTTTCACTTCCCTTCTCTCACCAGCACCAGCAGCCTCCACAGAAAGTTCAGCACACACAAATCCTGTGCCACAATGACAGACAGACAGTATTTATGGGATATGCAAGGCATGTATCTTTTTTTAGATACTGCAGTTCATGTAATATTTATTTAGACAAGCTATGTTTCAAGTGAGAATCACTTTCTCAAATAAAATCTGCCTAAGGATGCAGCACAGAGACAAACATGAAAGCTGCAGAGATGTTGCATAATGCAAAGTTATAGTGCTGATACAAAATTAAACAAAATAAAACATTTATTATTAAACAGAATAAAAATCCTATATAAAAACACTGTACAATCATTCAGAATCATTAGTGCACTAGGGGTATGCAGTTAAATCCTGTTTAAATCTTGACTAGTTCACTGGGCTTCACAGCTGCACAGATCTCCCAGCAACCACATCTGGCAACATCAGGGAGTTTCATTTGAACTTGGGTTGGAAGAGCTGGCTTTACAATTAAATTCATTACATGACCTTGGACAGTCTCACTACTCACTATCACATTCTCTTTCAACTTTTTTGACCTCTCACCACTTAATCACAAATCTATATTTACTTGGGACTCTGTTTATTAAAATATGTTACTCTGGTGTGAGTTCAACAAAAAGTTCTTTTTTTAATTTGACTAATTTTAGGAGCCCAGAGTGGCCAAATTATCAAGTGACTCTCACATAATGTAAATTTGAACAGCAAGTTTGAAAATGAACAATTTCTTTTGTTTAAATATGTTATTTTTAACTTTCCTATCCTGTTTATCATCTTGCTGTTCCTCAGATCTCATGATGTCTTTTGGAGGTCCTGGCCTACCTCTTAGGTCAGGAGCCACTGCTCTATTGCTGCTTTGTCTTTAGCTCCCTTATTGTGCAGTTAGGCTGGAATCCACCCACAAAAGATGGTGAAATACTATTCAAACAAGCCACATGTCTTGATGTGTACAAGTAATTGGATATGCCCCACATTGCTGACAGTTAGCAAACAGGAATTCAGGGAGGGATCTGGAGTCTTCAGATGGGACAGAAAGATCATCCAAATGAGAGTGACTAAGAGAGAAACATGCAATGTCACATTTCTTGATCCTGAAAACCAACCTTTGTTCAGTATGGACTGTATTTGTGTGCTTGTGTCAGTGTGTATGTCAAATGTCAAGCCCCACAGAGGACAGGAAGTGCACTGCTGTGAGAACACAAGTCCTTTATTTGTTTTTA